AGTTTTCATAAAATAATAAAATAAATCATTTCAGGTCTACATAAGAATGTAAGAAATGAAGACTTATTTATCTAGAACCGGGCCCGTGTTCCATGGAACACGCGGAACACCGGTGACTACGCCCCTGAATTTGATGCTCCGAAGAAATGTGAGTTGGTGGCTCTCCATGCCAATGGTCATCTGACCTAACATCGGTTTTTGCTGGATTATTCCTCCCTCCGCTCCTCATACGGACAGTGTCAAATTAAAAAAGCTAAAACATTACCTGACTGTCTTTCTTGGAACAAAAATAACATCAGGCCCTATTCTTTCCGAATAGGTATAAGTTTATCCCAGAAACCCTCCTCAAAACATTGAAAAATCGAATATATAAATACGGTAGCTATATGCGTAAAAAAAATGAGTGCGCAAAGAGTTTCCGTGCGCAAAGTTGATGAACTTTGCGTACGCAAATGAGTGTGCAAAGTGCAAAGTAATAACTTTGCGCATGCGAGTAGAGAAAATAAATTTTCTCGATTTGATGTGAGAATGTCATTATTCTCGCACGCAAAATCATTGAAGAATGGAGCTCAGCTCAAAGTGCCCGCCAAGAGCCGCATGTCGGGCCCCGGTAAAAATAATATTAACGGGTCCCCCCTCTTTATTTTTAGGTCTTCCAAATTTATGATAAGATTATTTCATTATAATCTCTGTTCCAATAGATATTAGAACTTAGAACCGTTCCAGAATCAGTTATTTCCAGTTGCGCACCTATTTTTCAATATAAGTTTAACGGGTTATCCTAATTCACAAATGAATTTATCGTCAGGAAATTACCTTTCTCGAACGGTTCTCATGTCTGTTGGAAGTTGGAACAAAGCTATAAAAACTATGATGAACCCGGGCCCCATCCCTCCTCCTGGTCCGGCCTGAAACTCTGAAACATGCGCGAATTATTTGTTAGGTATTTGTAGAGCTGGTTTTCATGTTCATTTTGCCTTTTTGATTTAATAAAGGTATAAAAACCAGTGTCTCATAGTTCATTGCAGAAAAACAACTATGCAAACAGAACAACAAACAACTCGAGCATTCAGAGCCAGGGAATCCAGAGACAAAAAACGTAAATACGAAAAATGCGTGCGGCAGGGTTGTTGCCGACATTGCCGTTCTTGATTATAGCAAAATTTACCTATTAGGGCGGGTATTATAAAACTACTTTGAGAGTTAACTTTGTTAACTTAAAGTTAACTTCTGGAATTACATGTAATTCAAAAAGTTAACTTCAAGTTAACTGTCAAAGCAGTTTTATAATACCCGCCCTTAGACTGCTCGCCTTCGTTTTTGTAATTTTTGTATGTTATTTTAGTATGACATACACTAGAATTTGGGTATTAATTCAGTGAATTCACTATTAATAGTAAATTGCTGTTTGAATACCTCCGAGCACCTAAAAGGGCTTTTGCAGCGTGTAATGTATCAAACTTTCCATTCTTCCCCTTCAAAAATTGTGGATAGGCATGCGAAAGTGAATCATGCTAGTAGCGAAAGTGAAAGTAACCACTAGCATATGTTTCACTTTCGCTTTCGCTCGCCTATGCAAGACAAAAAAATCTATTTTCATAGGGGGGAGAATGAAAAGATTCCTCCTAGAGCAGCAAAATAAATAATTTGGATACTAGAGGAAAGAGTTTCTGTGCCGATGGAAAGCAACAGGAGCACTAGTTCACTGTAAATCAATACCCAAATCAGCTTATATGATTAGGTATATGCATACTTATTTGTAAAAAAATATAAGTTATCCGGGCTCCCCACAAGCCCGGGCCCTAGTAATTTGTATCGCCTTCATTCTTCAACGATTTTTAGTGAGGTTTTCAAAGTATACCTATTGGTACAGTCGTGAGCACAAAAAGTGGGACACTCGTTTTTTAATATTGTAAAACGGGCTCAGCAGCTATGCCTACGGCAATGACAGGGATTGTCATATTTGCCAAAAAATCGATTGTAGAGAAAATGCTGATTTACGCAAAATAGCGAAAAATGACAAGACCTGTCAGTCGGGTGTCCCACTTTTTATGCTCATGACTGTACATTGGTACCTTCAAAATTGTCAAACCTTTCAAAATAATAAAATCCACCTGTCAGTTGGTTGGTAAGTAAGTGTTACCAACTGACATATTTTGCAAAAAAAAAAATTCCCAACTAACAGCGACCACCAAAAAATTAATAATAAAATACAAAATCGAGAAAATAGTATAAAACTCACCGTTGCAGAAGGCTATTCTCGCACTCATTCGTTCGATTGAGCCGTCACGCCCGAATTGTTAACGCTGATTAGAGGTCCTGTTCTCAAGAAATCACAAACCATAGTCAGAGCGTTATTGATTGTTGCAAATCGCCCAAGGATAATACACACAACCAATCACACAATACACGACTACTAGTACAGAAAGGCCTATCCTTATAAGGCCCACTGTAATTCAAATCTCAAGCCACCACCATGCCAAATGCCAAAGCACCAGTGAGGACGTAGCCAGCGTGTCGTTTCTCGCCTTGACGTAGGGTGTTTCAGGAGGTGTTTGCACCACAGGTTATGATTCTCAACTCACTCTTTTTTAGATCTCGTTTGCATCTAACATATTGTGAACCTATCATACTCAAAATAAATTAGAAACATACAAAAAAATATACCTACGAAAAAAATAATGAATACAAGAATAGGTATAAAATATAAATACAAATTATAAAACTGGAATACAAACAAAGATAGAGTAAAAATCAAACAAGAAGAAGCCACACGCGTTATCGTTTGTCTCACTTTAAATGGGAGGGAGTGTCAGCGCTGAAGTCAATGGCTTCTTCTCGTTTGATTTTCACTCTACAAATTTCAAAAAAGTGAAGCACACTCACCTAGCGAGGTTTTCCAATAAATTTACGAAAAGAACCATGGATGTCCATGAGTTGACAAATAATAGTATAATGATATAAGTGACATAAGTGTATATAAGTCCCTTGTGACATACAAAACACTCCGCTGGGCGTCGTATTTGAAATATGTCGCGGGTTCTTTAAAGGCTCTCTTATCGCATATCATACGCTATTTTTCATTACGAATGCATCATAATTTAAAAATGTTTTAAATGTGTTCATTCATTTTGATAAATAGTAATTTGAACGGCAGGTGAATATCTCATGGGTAATAAAGATAGATCAAACGTTTCTATTGCAAAACCTTTGAAAAGATAGGCGCATCATTAACATCATTTTATGCACAGCGTGCGATAATCGTTGATTATGATGCATGCGTAATAAAACATGAAATTAGGGACCAACACAGTGACAAATGTGCACAAAACAGACAGATGAAAACTATTTCAAACGGTACATCAACTCTCTTTACTGTTGTATTCCTTTTATCCGTTGAGTTACTCGGAGCTGTTTAATGTCAAAAGCTTGGAACGTTCCTTTTAAAAGTGCGTTAAGCACTCGAGTCGCTCATGGTGCATCCCCCTTTCCCCTGATGCACCAAATTTGCGGGTGGTGCAAGAAGCCCTTCTAGGTAATGACGGTAATGTTATTAAAAAATAATGATAAAATCTGAATTGTGTTTTGGAGTGACTCCGAGGAGCTCGTTCGGTGTAACTCGATGTATAAAAGGAATACAGTAATTCCTTCCAATAGTCCAAGAGCCCAGAGCCGCCAGACACAACTTATTTTCTAAAGGACAGAATATGTGGGATTGTGTAGCACTTATATGTACTATGAACGTATGTATACCCGCTAAGTTGGGTAGACGGCCAATTTACCGACACCAGATGCGAAAGCTTAAAAAGTACTTTAACTTTTTTTCTAACGCTTGATTTTTATACATGTTATTGGGGAGACTATTTCATAACTATGTGTGCTCAGCCAGACCAATCGCACCGGGCAAACATCCCCCCAGACGCAATAATAGTTTTTCCGTGAGCGTGAGCGCGAGGGTAGGTACTATGCATGCGTTTGAGAGTGATCGAGATATCTATTTCCCCCTCTTAAACTTACAGTCTACTCCAGGCTAGAGTAGAAATGGCATTCGGTTTTTCCCATAATGGGAAAAACCGTTATTTACAAATACCAGTCAACTGGCCGTCTGCCCAACTTAGCGAGTATACATACGTTCATAGTACCTATAAGTGCTACTCAATCCCACATATTCTGTCCTTTAGAAAATAAGTTGTGTCTGGCGGCTCTGGGCTCTTGGACTACAACACTGAAACCGACCTTTCAGTTAGTACCAGTGGCGACGCCAGGGGGGGGGCCGGGGCCCCCCTGAAAACTTACCCTCATGTCGACAACAATGCAATGCAACATGAGTAACCTCTGCTCTCTGGTTAATTTGATATATGGTGGGCGCCAGGCAACCGCGACTATGCTTTCGCTTTTCTGGGATTCCCCCAAATATATTTGTGTCGGCAGGTCCAGGGTTTTCCTGAAGGCCGGTTTCTCAATAGCAAGCAATTCACCCCCGGGTCAGAGCAGTTAATCATAACTCTAGGGTAAACATTGCAATTGGACACGTTTACCCTGGACTAGCTATTGAGAAACCGACAATGAACGGTTAATTGAATAGGTACCTATCAAGAAGATTTACCTATACAGGGTGTCCCTTTTTCGAGAGCAATCATTGGAATATAGGAAACGGTAAGAGATACAGGTTCGGTTAAATTGGGACAAAGTTGCGCAATTTCTTGCTTAACAAAACGCTACTTCGAAATTTGGAAAATTCCGAATACTTCCGGAGATACATGGAAATCAAAATTTTGTAAAATAATTTCTATATTTTCCTGGACTCATTTGTAAAGGTATTTCAAATAAACTTCACTTTATTGGGGCAACTTTCTCCCCTCTGCATAATGGTGTCCAAAAAAAAAAATCCAAATGAAATCCCTTCTGCATATTGTAGGTATGCACATACTTTCTTTTTCTTAAAAATTTCAAATAGGTTTTAGGTATGTCACTAGCCACCCAAAAAAAAATGTGATACATAAGATAATTATTGGGCTATTTTATTTTATAACTATAGGATACAAAATAATACATACATATTTCTAAATAATAAGCAATTCAAGCATAAATCTTACTAATTACTTACTGCTATAACCTCAGCCTTAGCAATAGAATTGATAATATGGCACTGAAAATACCCTTTATACAAATTTAACAGTTTTTAGTGAAATTGTATAAGTAAGCCATTTTCCAAGAATGGTCCGCAATCGGTGCAACTCAAAATTTTGGAAACTAACATCAATAAGTATATTGAGCTTGGAAAAAATTAAAAAAAAAAAAAACAAAAAACAATGTGATACCTACGCAAGAAATTATTAGGCTAATTTGTCAGATAATAATAAAATAATGAAGCAACTTTAAACATAATTCTCACTTCTACCTTGGCAATAATCCAATAATAAAATGATCCTGAAAATATTAATACCCATGTAAAAAAAATAATAATATATAAAAAAATTCAACATTTTTTAGTTATTAAAATCCTATATGTAAGTTGATTCTTAATAAAGGCTTCAATTTGTTCATAATCAACATAAATACTATTTTCATCATCAAATGTTGAGTCTATTCCACACAATGGTGCGCAATTGGCTTTAATGTAGAGCCTCAAATTTTTCCCATTACCATCAATAATTTCCAGTTCAAACATATATTTAGCACTCTCTTCAGGAGGGCCTACTAATTGAACAGACCAACAAAACTGTTGCTCTTCACACTCATACTTAAAACATAGTTTAAATAAATATTGGCCATGTTTCAATATGAATGCTTCCAAAATATCTTCATCCACTTCAGTATTAAATGGGACGCTCACAGTGTCAAGCTCAAGCAAACTTTCATAATGCTCATTTTTGATATGATTGAATAATTCGGATGCTCGAAAATTTGTTGAGCACTTTTCAAAATCTTTCAAGGGACATTCGAATGGGCCCCAAAGGCAAGTGGCTTCATGTTGCCTTATATTTTTGGCTTTAGTTTTGTATTTGCAGCCGGAATGTTTGCAAGGATAAATTGTGTTCATGATAACCCGTTCTAAAGTGAAATTTTGGGTCCTCTTGAATTCAGCCTTGCAACTTGGACAAACTGTTTGTGTATCTTTGCAAACTTGGCAAAAACTATGACCAATTTCACACTGATAAATTGGTGGCACCATATATTCCATACAAATAGGACATTCAAACTCGTGTAGTAGATCCAAATCAAGACCATCATCCTCTTCACTATCATGTGAACTTATTACTGAAGCGTTTGTCTCAGGTTTTTCTTTAATACTTATATTTGCAATGATTGTAATAGGATCATGCAGCATGTCTTTTACAATGTCTCCTTGAAATTCTAACTTATTCCCAACAACTTCTTCTTGGATATATTTGTGCGCTTTATTGCCACTTTCCAAAGTCAAACTGTACACTAAATTATCAGCAGTATTTTCAATGGCACTCAAGCATTTAACAATGACTGAAAAGGTTCTTTTTAGTGAATTACCTTCCCTTGTGATCACATATAAGCCATCAGCATATGGCATCAAATAATTTTCCTTGTGATTATTTTGTAAATCAATTTCATATTTGCAGTCCTTCAATATAAAAGTAGGATGTGCCTTCTCGAAATGATCCAAAACGTCCACTAAGTTTCCTTCCCAAGTGCAATTATTATAGACTTTAGTTGGGCACTCGTGCTTCATATAATGACAGCATTTTTCATGTTCGGCTAATTTAGCAGGTGAAAGTACTTCCAAGCAACCACTGCCACGGTTAGTGCAAGGGAATTTTTGGAATTCAATAGCACTCTCATACAGTTCGTCTCGGATAAATCCTGACGCATCATCAATGGGACAACGGCCACAAATTATGTCTCCTTGAAGATTCCTATGGATTGGTAAAATTGAGAGGTATTTTTGGCATCTTGTGCATTTTAATTTTTCCAACGTGGCTTGTTGGATGAATGTTGAAGATGAATCTAGAAGAGAATATAATATATCAATCCATAATCAATTTTATTTATTATTTAAAAAACTGAGAATTTATAATCATCTGCCTGAACGCATTAAGAGCACTGCGGGCTTTCAAATTTTTAAGGGGACTCTTAAGGCCATGCTTGCTGAGTGCCCTTTCTACTCCTTGATTGAGTTTTTCAATCATAACTTCATTTAGATTTTTGTAAATTGATTTTGTTTTTTGTGAATGATATTTTACCTTTATTTTATTTATTTGACAATTCCGATACATTGTACCTATATGTCTATGGAAATAAACGATTTGATTTGATTTGATTTGATTTATAAAAGTGGTCAGTATGGGTGGGTCTATATCCAACACAAGATTTTCACTTTTTTCTTGAAACTTAAAAAACTAAAGAAACTTGCTCAATCTCGTGTTCAATACAAACTTTTAAAACAAGAATTTCATCATGGAATCATCATCAAAATGAAAGAATAAATCATATACCTAGATTGAAAATATAGATCTGAGTGTAAGACGTGAGTTATTTTTCTTAAATATTTCAATATCAAGTGCCAGTTAGCTGATATGTTAACGGAAGGTTTGAGTAGAGTTCAATAATAGACCTATCTATTTTTACCTGGTATGCGCGCGCAACACGAGGCAATGTCTTTTTATTGGCCAGCTAATACAGGTGTGAGGTGATCGTTTTGCACGCTGGCCATCTCTTTATCCTTGTTTATTGCACGTGGTCACTTGTTGGAAAGTTAAGAAACATAGATTTTTTGATAGATTAGGTATCTTCTGGGGTCCCCAAGGGAGGAAACTGCTCTCCGTTATTGTTCAATCTGTTTATGAATGAGCAATTAAAGAAGTCTTGAAGTATTGCGAGTTTTTAATGTTCGCTGATGATCTCAAAATTTTTTAGTTATTGCTAATGATTTGCATATCAGTTTATTACAAAAAGACCTTGATGACCTTACTCAGTGGTGTCAGAGTAATTTGTTAGATTTGAATATACAGTAAGGGGCAGGCTACTAGGTATATAGGATCCAACTTGACGAATTTACGATCGTCCGCAGCCGTCTAAACACCTGTCGCTGTCGGTCCGCTGTCGTTTTTTCGATGACTTTGACGTTCATAAACCATGGTTTACATCAGTACGTTTTATGATTTTACAGACTTAAGCCCGGTCCAGACGTTACGTTACTGATACCTGATCACGTGTTGAACTGTGCAGACAAAAGTTGATGCAAAACGTAGCATCTAGACCGTGCTTTTAGATGTATCGTCGAGCTTCACTTACTTATAATTATTAAACGGCGTGTATAGATAGATTTTTTTTGGAACCGAAGCAATAATCTATGGAAAAAAAACATGTATTTTAAAAAAGCCATCCAGGAAAAACTAAAAATATATTCAACTTAAAAAATAGAAAAAAAATTAAGTAAAATAAAAACAAAAATTCTAGTTTTGACCCCAAAAACCTGGCTCGATTACCTACCATTTGCACTACAATGTAGCAAATGTTCAAACAGTCTCAGTCCACTTTCTTGAACTAAACAATGACCTAAACTATCATAGAAGGCTCTACGAATATTATTTAGCATCACAGGGGTGACAGTTAGATATATTTCTCGAATTTTGAAACGCAGCTGCTCAAGGTTTACGGCGCGGTTCTCCTGAAAACCATACATTTTTGATTTGCAATAACCCCAGAGAAAATAATCGTTGGGTGCAAGATCGGGAGAGCGTCACAGTATTGTAGCTCTCGACCCAGCAATGAGACGGTTCGGAAAAGTATTATTCAAATGGTCCAGAATGAAACCCGTATTATGGGCTGGACATCCATCTTATTGATACCATATTTCATTAAATCTATAGGATTCAATTCAATTTCTGGAATTATCTGCCGTTGGCCCGTTGCAAAAGATCCAAATATTTTGGACCAGTTAAGTTAGCGTCCATGAAGTACGGCCCAATAATATGTTATCCACACAAACCGCTCCAGACAGTTACCTTTTGACGACGCTGGGCTCTAAGCTCAAAATACCTGTGTAAATTCTCCTTAGACCAATAACGGGTGTGACTAGGATTATGTCGACCATGGAGTTAAAATGTCGACTCATCTGTAAAGACAATTTTTCTAAGAAAATCTTGATTTTCATTTGCCTTATTAATGACAGTTTCACAAAAATCCATTCGCCTGATGTTGTCCTCAGGATCAATTTTTTGGGAGTTTCTTACTTTGTACGAACGATACTTTTTTTTTCTGTGGCTCCTAACCGTCCTTGCACTTGAGTCAATATCCTGCGCAAGCGCACGAGTCGAAATAGTTGAAGTATTAACTAATGCCAACAACCAACAACATAATTTATTTGGCTTCTTGATCCTCATTATTTTCCGGGACGTCATTTCGTTTGGTTTCAGGGAGAAACACAACCGTATTTTTGAAAATTATTAACAACCCTAGAAACTTTTCACTTGGTTGTCGCCGGGTTAGCGCTAAATCGATTTGTCATTTTCTGACATGCGGACGCCTGCAAATTCGTCAGGTTACATCCTATATACCTAGTAGCTTGCCCCTCACTGTAGATAAATGCAAGGGGCGTTTCATTCCCGAAATACATGTACATAATTCACCGAAATTTTTTCGTAATCGCAGAAGTCGCTACCGAAATCTCGCAATCGCTGCCGAAATCGGGAAATCGCAGCAGAATTCGCGCAGTCCTGGCGGAAATCCCGCAGTCTTTGAGCAGAAATCACGCCATCGCTTCAAAAATCTTCACAATCACTGCAGAAATCTAAACATCGAGTGGCCGTTTTGGGTTATAAAATTCGAGTAATAATCAATGTAAATCCGTTCGTTGCTGGAGTAGCTGCAGCGCATTTTTTTCAACTTCACGCTAAACTCTGAGTAAAATAGAAAAGAATAAGGCAATATAAAACTATACAAAAACTGCAATAAAGTCAGGAATAAAGTGGAAAGTGAATTTTATTATTAATTGTATGTACACAACACAACCACTTAAAGGAGCTGTGACCCAAAAAAAAACCAACTTAAACTACTTAAATCGAGCAAAAAATCTAAGATCTCGCGTGAAAACCGAACTTCTATACTCAACAGTATCAGAGAAAATCCATTATGAACATATTATGCGAAATCAATTCTTGCAATTTTTTAAAAAAAGAAATTTGTGAAAAACGTAGCTTTAAGCACAAATTCTAGATTTCTTGCTAAATCCTGATGATGTATTTTTTTTTTAATGGACGTAGAGGAAGAAATGAAAATATTTGCAGTTTTGGAAGAAATAAACTAATGGTTAATGGGTTGTAAAATTGATTATAAAAGCAAATATCAATAAAGTTGTATTTTTTTAAAGTTTGTTGTCAATCATTCATTACACTAATATAGAATATACACCGTGATTTACATAGCCAGCGCATTAGAAATAGTCCAGTTTGCAGGTTGATTAGTAGAAATAGCATCTAATCCACCTGCAAGCTAATGCACGGGCGAGTGCACGGGGTACGAAAATCACCCTGTACGTGGAAAAATATTATTTACTCTTCAGTGTGCGCTATCTTATTTTCTAAGTATTTTTTGAAGCACATAGATTCCTCAAAGGATTCATTATTATAGTAGATGAAAATACAAGGTAAAATACTACCTCTACAATCTAAACATGTTATCAATCCTTTAAAACTCTTGTTAAAACTGAAAAGTAGGAGCCTACTTATCCCCGGTGGACTGCGAAGAAATCGTGGCAGTCTCATAGAGATTTCAAAGAAATCCCACAGTCTTGGGAGATTGCAAAGAAATCACTAGAAATATTCCTGGAAATCGCTGTAGTCACTTGGATTTCTCAGAATTTGGAATCACCAAAATCGTTGAGTGATTGCGAGGAAATCGCCGCAATCATCAAAAAATTAAAGAAATCCCAGGGATTACCGCAATACATGAACATTTTTTCGGGAGTGAAATACCCCTCGGATAAATGTATTCAAATTTCTTCTGACAGGAAAAAAATATATAGAACTCGATATAGAATGGTATAATTATGTTGGGTTAGTGAGACCACAACTTGCGTATGGGCCCCAGTATAATATGTCTATAAGTTACTGCTGGAGAGTGTGCAAAAAAACAATTTTTGAGAAAGTGTAATTACATGATCAATCTGAATCTCATTGCTAACCATGACTACTATCAAATATTGGATTATCTTAAATCTTAAGCTGCTTCCATTGAACAAAAGGAGAACAATGTTTGACATTCACTCATTTACAAGTTTTTGAATAGTAGGTATTTTATTCTCTCCAGATTTCCAGATAGACTAAATTTTCAATTCCCCAGAGAATGCTTAGACAAAATATTTAGTTTATTTTATATTGAGTTATATATGACCAATTATAGTAGAAACACTTTTCTGGAAAGATCTCTAAATTTTTTGAACAGGCAGGAAAGGTTGGATATATTGAGTAGCTCATTTCAATCTTTTAAGAGCTCCTTGGACATTGGTAATGTTAAGAAAGAGAACTTCCATGGGAACCTGGAAGTTCACATTTTTTTGTAGTACAGACACTTCTGGTCTACAAAGGGGTCAAGGTGTCAGGCGATTTCCCGTACATATTCTAAACCATTGGACCATTTTAAAAGAAGATACATTGTAATTTTGCATTCTAAAATAATCAGCAAATCCAATCAAATCAAATATGCCTTATTGTCATAAAAAATTACATTCTTGTTGATAAAGCCAAATAGAATAAATGAAATATAAACAGTATGACATACAAAAAATTATACTTAGAGCTAAAACCTAAATTAAATCCATAACACGTCGTCAAACAAGTCAATAGGTTAAAAATAATAAAAACAAAAAAAAAATAAAATAAAAAATACACTTTTTGATACTATATGTGCATCCTTCGATACAAACAAATAAATATTGCAACTGGTCATCAAGATACTCTGATATACTAGGGACGCTCCACAATAGTAATGCCTTCACTGTAGATCTAATTCTTTTTTCAAATTGAATATTCCTGATTTCGAGAGACAGTTTATCAAATAATTAAAGTCGAGGGAGAAGCCGTGTTGCTCGTCGACGAATCAAACCAGAGTATTTTAAGCAAATACATTCAATTACCTAATATCTTAGCAGAATGCTTTCGGCTACCCAGCCATCCTCAGTGCTAATTGTCTACTATACATCAAAAATTGTAAACGACTACCATATTAAAAAACCCCTCAACCACTAAATTTTGTACACCTATTGTATTTGACTGTATTGAATGCATCAAAGATGATAGTTGATTCTCGAGTTGACTGCATTCAAATCAAATCAAATCAAAAAAGCTTTATTATCCAAAAAATTATGCAAATTCCATTGACAAAACCAAAAAAAAAGTCTAAAATTAATTTCCTATACCCTAAAAATGTATACTAAGTTAAAATTTAGATGTCAGTGTTGATTGACCCCCTGTATGCGAATGTAGATGAATATTCGAAAAAGCAGGAGATTGTAGAGAGTGTTCCTAAGAGTGTGACTTAATGTCATTGAATATCAATATCAGAGGAATACATATTACTTCACCTCGGACTGCATAGGCCAGGGCAGATAAATTTTTTCGTAACATAAAATTTAACAGCAAACTATCGATGCAGTATTGTTAAGGATCATTTATAGATGCTAAAAACCAAAAATGCAACATCTAATTACTTTTAGGGGATTTTATAAACAATATTTAGTGCAAAAATAGGGCTTTTTTTTTTTGTTTATTTCAGTGTATTTCGAAAACTAATGATCGGATGGTTTTGCTACTATGGCAAGAGTTTTAGAGCATTGAACAACTTTAAAATGAGCCATCATACAACCCTGTAGGTCTTTTAGTCTTCGAGAAATGATTTTTTTCCCCCCAAAAAAGAGATTTTCGTAAAAAAGTTTTAACTTTTTTAATTTTCATGCTAGACAATTCATTTTTTACACATACATAGTAGATAAGGCAGGCGTTATTGAGCCCAAATTTGGGCCCGGTCCGATGGGTCGTTTCGGCATGCACGCAAATTTATACAGGGGTCTAAGACAAGGATATCCATCATGGGGATCCTGTAAATGGTAGAAGATTCGGCAATGGTTAAATGGGAAAAAAGTTGCGGAATTTAACGCTCAATAAAATGGTACTTTGGCATTTGAAAAATTCCGGACATTCTCCGAGATATCCGGAAAAAATCGAAATTTTCTGAAATTGATTTTATTTTTTCCCGAGTTTTTTCCTGAGCTTATTTGAGGAGATATTTCAAAATAAATGTCACTTCATCGTTACCACTTCTCCTACTCTACAAGATGACATTATCAACTCTGGAATTTGAAGTTTTGACTTTGGGCCACCATCATCAACTTTATTGTTTTAAATACAACCCTGGATTTTTTATTTCAGATTTTAAGAGCTTCTCTCGGAGCTTCTGATGTCCCCAAACCCATTATGTGTCGCATGAATCCAAAAAATAGTTATTTGTTATACAAGGGAAAAAAGTACTAGATTTTAGTACAAGGTGTGGTTTGTCTCCCAACGCAAAGCGGAGCAACAACACAGCAAGCGCCTGGGAATAAACCTATAAAACCTAGTATATTTGGTATCAGGTTTGAAAGGCTAATCCAATAGGTCAATAATATACAACAAGGTGTTCTATTTAAGAAAGTATAACTTTGCTTTGTCACACGCCACACTTTAGTGACACACACTGTATACTTGTTGTAACTAACTTCCTTGAAAACTTTCTGATATTACCTACAACTTTTACATTTGACATTTCTGGGTATCTTTTCAAACAGCTGAGATAGGTGTGGGTGGAAAATATAGACAATAACCGGGTACATGACTGCCAGTGAATGTATGGTGTTTTTGAAGTGTGAAAGTGATAGGGGAGATTGAAAAACATTTGAAAATAAAAGAAGTATACTATATTCATACCGAGATTCATACTATATTCAATGATCGGTTCTAGTGCACTATAGGTACCTCAAAACTAGACATTTTACAGTTGTGGAAAAAAGATATTATTATAGTTGTAGGACTTTGAAATAAGAAAAAGTGAGGATGAACACTAAAAAAATTTTTTTTCAAAAAAAAACAACTCAAAAGCCCGCTCAAAAGTTGAAAATTTTAATTTCTCTTTGTACAAGTATGCCTAATTTGCCTTATTTTATGAGATAATTGTATGTGTTTATTATAAAATCTTGAGCAGTTTCTGATGTGAAACAATTTAGGGTTCCCCACAATTAAATACTAAACTATAATATGACTGACTATATTATTTAGGTGGCACACTCATTGAGGCTTGATAGACACATAATTCGTTTGAGTAGGTAGTTCTTGAATAAAAATTTCGGATAATGCACTTTTTTCAAAAATCTGGCCTTTTAAGTTTGTACTATTTTCCGTTGCGCCTGTTAAAATACAGAATATGCACGGGGTTCGATTCTTGTTGGAGGAAATAAATTTTTTTTGATAATTGTTTAGAGAAGGTTTTTCACAAAAATATCATGTTTTTTCCTTGTAGACAGTTAAGTTTTATCTCAAAATAGTTTATGGGGACTATAAAGCACGCAGTACAAAGACGGGTTAGTTTGCATGTTTTTGATCAGTTTCAATACAGCACAGTAGTTACTGTCGGTTAGAGTTTTCGAAAAATGGTTTGAACACTTAGCTCTTCTTTCAGTTCGAATATCTACCACATGATGCTTTTCATGTTTATTGAATTTTTATCTACTAACCAGAGCAATTGTGATATTAGGCTGATAAGAATAGATATTATATATTGATCTGTGTCAAAGGTCGAGAAGAGGATTCCCTTAATATTTATAAAATCCAATTTATGCCTAGTTATTTGCGCCAACATTTTTGATCATAAAATAATAATTTGGGATCAACAAACTATAAAGAAGCATGATATTTGTGTGAAGGACCTTTACTAAACTGTTACCTTTTTTTTAAGTTTTTCTTTTTTCTTAGGTTTAGTTAGTTTGGATTTGCTCTGTTTCGTTTAAAATGCGAACATTCAATGACTAGCACTTATTATGAGCACGTGCCCAGCTCTTTGGTTTGGTTTGGGTTAGTTAGTTTTCAATAAAAAAAAAGTATATGATCCTCAGATTTTTTGCTTTTAAACTTTATTATACACTACTCCTCACTTTTTGAATTTTGAAATTTTTGCAAATATCGAGGTACTTATAGTGCACCAGCCCCGAACCTATGTAGGTAATGTTTTTCTTTTTTTTAACATTGAAATAATTTTTTTTTCAAATACATATTTTAAATTGAAATTTGGTTCTATGCTCTTTTTTATTTTTAAACTTAACTTATACCTCGACTTATACCATCGCTACCAGTATCTTGTACCTGTACTGATGAAAGTTTTTACACACAAAATCTCATTTTACCGCTGAAAGAGTGGACTGAAAAAGGGATAGTTGTAAAGGCAACATCAATTTCTTAACTTGCTTGAACTTGAAACTGTTTTCACAAAACAAGGGACATTATGTTTTTTATCTGTACTTTAACATAATACCACAACAATATTTAGCAATGATTAAACTGTATAATAAGTAAACACTTACCTCCGTTCATGTTACCAAATAAAGAAAGATACGATTTTTTGTAGTCTTAGCACTATCATGCATTTGAGTTTGGATTATCAAAATAAACTATTATCACAAATTGGGAAAAACCTGTGATAATTATTAATAAAACGCAACAAACGCAAAACACAAAAGATTCAAAGTACTGAAAGAATTGTACTAAAGCGAAGCCGGCAACAAGCAACAGGTAATCAACTGGATGAAAATATTAAAAATTGTACATTTCTAGAGGGGTGCATTCAGACGACGATACTTTTCTTCTACTCCGTTTCTTGGGTATTCCGTTGAACTACTAATTAAAAAACTTATAAAAATTGTTTTTTGCTCCATTTATTTGATGCCTATTGTATTTGGTATTATACTTCATTCTCTTCCCAAGCTTTAGTACAATTCATACTAATTCCAGACCTTACCTTACTGATTTTTTTTATTACCGAAACTACTGACTGTGACTTGTTAAAGATGCAGTTGCGCGTGACTACGCTACGATGCCAAGTTTTTGGAAAAGGTCTGTTCACACAAAAATAACAAACCAGTCAGAGTGAATTTCAGTCCTTTTCAGGTGGTTCCGGTTCAATCTTACCGGATTACAAAAACGGTTAGTAGCGGTATGTCAAGTGGTGACGTCATTGAAGATGAATGTTTATAAAAATGTTATTTTATTGCTTCCATGTTCGTCAATTGATTAGGTACGCGAGGGTTTGTACTTTTGACGTCATTTGCCTTCCTATTTTAACAAATAAAGTTTGACTGAAACAAATTGATTTGCTAGAATCTTGAAAATAATACATATTAACAAAACACAATCTTTTTTAGTTTACACCAATTACATCTGTCACAATTTTCCCTCTTCGTTGTTTAGAAATTTTCTATCGTTTTTGTTCTAACCGTTAAACGTAACATCGCTGAGCAGGGCTGGGATCACGACAAGTGGAATTCTACTTTTATGACGTCACCCGCGACCTATTTATCGCATACAGTACAGGCGATAATGACGGTTGCTAGGCAACCTGATGTCATGAAAGTAGAATTATACTTTCATGACGTCACCCGCGAACTATTTATCGCCTACAGTACAGGGCATCATGACTGTTGCTAGGCAACCTGACGTCATGAAAGTAGAGTTCCAGTAGAATTCTACTTGTCGTGTTCCCAGCCCTGAGGCCTTATTCTTGACTTTCTCTCGAGAGAAAATTTGACTGCGTTGACAATTGAACAGTGCATTAACTGTTAACAATGTCAAATTTTCTACCTAGGTAAAGTCAAGAATAAAGTCTCTGGTTAGGGAAATGGTCGCGTTTAACTCAACATGATGAGTTATTAGTAAGCGGCTTTGTTCCAACAAGTGAAATGAAATACCCAAGGTAGAACAGTTTTGATTTTCCTTTTAGATCTGATTTCCAACTGTTTTCAGCAAAGCCGCTGACTAATCACTTAACATGCTTTGTTTTGGTTTCACTCAGAACTAGTTCGGAATCATTCTGCACATGCGCATATTATAAAATGCCTTTTGGTTTTTTCAGAATCGTAATCGAACTATGTTGAGAGTGTTTTGGTTTATCTAGAACTTTTTAAGAACAATTCTGGGATTGTTCTAGAACGGTTCTCTCAGTTCTTGCTCCGAAGGAGGAACTGTTTTAGAACTTTGTGTTTTGGTTTTTTTGGTTCCGAATCGGTTCAGAACTAGTATTAGAACAGTCCTCTATTATTTTTTTGTGCGCAAGCAGTTCTGCGCAATCCTAGAACCGTTCCAAATTTCGAACCAAAACAAAGCTCTATTAAAGTGCGTTTTTTTTTTTAAAGATAAAAGTCAAACTGACAGTTGGCAATACAATGTAAAATTGTCAATGCTTTCAAATTTTTCATGTAGAAAAGGCTTGTGTTGCCAACAAAGTTACTAAATTTTTGACTTTAAAATCTTTAAAAAAAAAAACAGATTTTAGTTGTATTCCTTTCACACCTAGGGGAGCTCCGGAACAGCTCCGGGGCTTCACGCGTTTATTCCTTTCGAAAAGTGTTTCTTGCACCACGTATCTGTTCGCTGCAAATCGGGGGCGATTAAACACGGGAGCGGGTAGCTCGAGTGCTTCAAACTCTTGAAAGGAATACAACTATTGAGTGCTTGTGAACGCGACCAATGACATACCGTTTCTTAACCCGGTTACAAAGTGACGTCATCGATACCACTCGGACTGTTTTCAGAAGCTCTGGAGTGCGTTCGAAATCACCCTGGGCGTCACACCAGCTAAAGAATTATTCATGGTTGGTGTGCACTCGGTGTGACGCCCAGAGTGATTTCGAACGCACCCCTGTTCCAACCAATGTTTCAACCGAGTTCCAACTGACATGAGAACGTGTATTTTTTCCCAAGATGGATTTTGACATTGAAAACTTTGAAACATAAACAATACCGCTTGGCCCCAGGGTCGGCGCAACCATTAGGCGAACTAGGCGGTCGCCTAGGGCGGCAAAAAGGCTACAAAAAAAATCACTTGAATTCTGCTTTGCTTCATAATCAGGATTCCATTTCTCTTGCAAACCTTAACACAAACTTTGCCCTTCTTAGGCCGGTGACACACTAGAGAAATAAGTTCCATGAAACTTGTTGGAAAAAACAGGAAATTTGTTTCATTATCACATGACATATACATTCAAATGAGGCGGAGCACACTGGCGTTCCTAGAACAGGAGAGCAAAAATTGTTTCGCCAGTGTGCGCCGCCGTATTTGAATGTATATTGTATGTGTCGTGGTTGTGTGATAATGAAAGTAATTTCCTGTTTTTTCAACAAGTTTCATGTAACTTATTTCTCCAGTACCATAGTGTGTCACCCGCCTCATGAGCACTGCTATGCTATACCTGTTTCTGCTAGTCGCTAGGCTAGGGGTCGTGCGACCGGGTGGCGGGCGACCAAAAACTACTTATTTTATATTATGAATATTTTTGGCACAAAATTCACGTTTTGGGCGTGGCACCAGAATCAGAACAGGATTTTTTCGCCTCCCCCGGCGCCTGCGGCGGACATGTGTGTATGTATTTTTTTATGTTGATATTCTAATCTATATTCTGTAAGTCAGGTTTTATTATCTACAATCATTAATAAAACTATAGAACATGTTTTTAAAAATAGCCATGCATATTTGTATTTTTACTAGATGGGGGCGGCAGGCAGTACATTTGCCTAGGGCGCCAAAGTCGCTTGCGCCGACCCTGCTTGGCCCTGATTGGTCGCAAAATGAGGTGTCCCTGCCAGGTTGGCATCAGTTTTACAATGCATGTCGCGCAAATCGCATCTTACGACCAATAAGCGGCATTGTTTATGTTTCAAACTTGACAATGTCAAAATCTATCTTGGGAAAAAATACAGTATAACTTTACTTTATCACATAGGTACCTACTATTAAATTTTACAAAAATCGAAACTCAGTTTCGTTTATTAATGTCCCACATATGGGTTCAATTGGATTTATAATGGATGGCAGTGGTCTGCAAGATTTATTCAACATTTCATTTGCCTAGCATCAACAAAACCCATGAGGTCTGGCCACGTAAATCCATTGTTTACCACGGTAAAGATGGCTTAGTTTTATCAAAATCACGGCGTATCTCAAATGCATTGCTTACTGCCCTGCATATCTGTAAAATAATGTATGCCAAGTATCGGCGTACTCATCATCCGTTGCTTATTACTGTGCCGTATGCGCATTTGTAATATATCGTTTCCTATACATATAGAGGGCTGGGATGGGTGTTAAGGTTTTTTGGTAAGGTCTTGCATTTGCAAATAAGTAAAGTCATAAGCCTACAAAATATTTACGTAATCACATAAACCGAATAATATTGATTTATGCACTTCGGTTTTACTGTTGCACATAAAACTCAGAGTATTTACTGCCAAAAGTATTAACTACTAATGTGATTTTACATTCGGTTTGTTTGCATATTTACTTGCAAAAGTCGTGTCCTTTTTCTTTTGATAGCGGATTCTTTCTTTGCTGGTCTTTCTGTTTGAATCCGTATAGCTCTTGAGGTTAAACCAGGTCGGAGTTTTCTTCTGGATACTGAAGTAGGTTGAACCCCTATTCGATTTCCTCTTCGTAAAGGCAGCGAATGAAAAAAGCTTAAAAATTGGGGTGGTGTTTTTCATGGTGTAGTAATTTCTGCAGAATTGCAGCTTCTAGCAATGCTCGCAGTTCGTTGGAGTTCGGGTGACATATCAGCCACTACAGACTACAAATGAATGTTGTCCATCGTTTTCTGGAGCCTTTAGGCGCATAAGACGGTGAAGCAGAGGCATTGCCTGGTTGAATATCGATTGTATTATTGTAGACACGTCGTTTAAATCTATGGTTTAAATAACTATTCCTAACTTAGGTACTTCCTGCCCATCCATTTCCCTACTATTGAAAAAGGATATGGAAATATCTCCCAGCGCTATTTTGGCAAAAATTATGTACAGTTGCGTCACAGTTGCTATCGGGAACTCGAGTTCAGTTCGTTTACGGACCTTGACTCTTGACCCTAGCGACTTTCTCAAAACTATTAAACTGGCATTTGTACGTCACTTGGACTACGTAAATAATGTAGTACAATACAGATATGCAGCTTAGTAAGAGAGGTACCTATGTGGGAACATTGTTTACTGCCGTACAGAAAGCAAGCCATCTGTACCGTGGTAAACAATGGATTCACGCAAAGAGCACAGCACTCTTTTACAGACGCTTTCAAATTGAACGATCCCAGTGTGAATGATTTTTGCGAAAATTTAAACGGTCTGACACTGCAGGTGCCAGATTTTCGAATAGTGCCAATTCCTAATTAATTAGTTGAAGCCGAGAGAAGTGGGAAATGAGAATTACGTCTGGAAAAAATAAAGAATGGATATGCTACCACATTTTCATGCAAGTGGCCATTTCAATTATGCCAAAGCGACCTAATTATACTTGCCGGATACGCAGGCACTTGATGAAAAACTCGCATTTGTGGAACATGAGCAATTTGAGACCAAATTATTCGTCACCATCATACAATGACCATTAAACAAGCAATATACTCATGTGAAGGCTAGTTACGGGGCGGGAATTAGTGACGGGACTCTTGCTAGATGGAGCGCAGGAATATCAACATCTGTCAACGTTTTCGACGAAAT